GCCGACGTTAGACTCGTCAAAACGAACGTTAGAAACTACGGCAATAATGCCGTCCTCGTACAACACACGGTACTGTCCTCCGTTCCCTTATCCGACAAGTATTCCACGCCTGCTCACCGGGTTGAACTTGTCGCGCTTGACGTCGGGTACGTGGACGTAGGCAACGCATCCAAAGACTCGCAGGTGACTGACGTTCGGACGAACATTAAAGAAAGCTTCGTACGGAGTGACGGTTGACCCAGCAGTTGGCGACACATTCCTAAGATAGTTGGCTGTCGCTAACGCCTCCGCCCATAATGATTTAGGCAGTCCAGACTCAACTAGCATAGCCCTAGTCTTGTCCAAAAGAGTGCGATTTAAACGTTCTGCAGCTCCGTTCTGCTCAGGGGTGTAGCCTACCGTAGTTCCGTGTAGAATACCCCTGGAAGCGAAATAGGCCTTCGTGCGAGTATTAACGAACTCTCCGCCACGATCTGTACGCACCTCCTTAACCTGCCTGCCAGTAGCGCGCTCCAGTTCCGCTATCATTACCACCATCTTCTGGTAGACCTCCTGTTGAGGAAACGGTCCTCTCCCAACTCGTGTGGTTGTCGACCAGGGGATTTGACCCCGGGTCTGCGCCTGACTAATGGGGAAGACTTACCCCAGAACCTTATGGGGCTACCGATGCATATCCGGTAGCTAAGTGATAGACATTAGGGCACCGTCTGGACGGCGCAGTGAGATCGCGGAATGTACGTGCAGTTAGATCGCGGAATGTACGAGTTTTCCGCTAGCGCCGGTATTTAGGGCGGTGACTGCGCCTATTAGTTTATCTCACAACGATCGGTATTCCTACCAGGAATCTCCTCAAGTCCTGCCGAACGCTAACAATACTCTTTACATTACTTGTAACATTTTATCGTGCTAAATATCTTCGCCACCGGCAATCCTTCCGGAATAACAATCAGCGTTAGCCGTCACCGTCGCCAATTCTCCAATACCTCCTCCTTGGTCGCTGTAAACGCAACAGCTGAAAGACCAGTATGGTCATCAAGCAGGGTTGTCACGTAACGCGAACCACGTTCAGGCATAGGCCCACACACATCCATGTGAATGAGCGCGAGAGGCTGCGCTGCCTTATGCCCAGATAACGGAAAAGGACCACGTGTATGTTTAGCAAGAACGCAAGTCTCACACACACACGTGCTGGCTGATTGTATGCTGTGTCGGTCAACATCAAATCCAGCTACCATATTATGACGCAGCAACGTCTCAAGGTTGCTATATCCCAAGTGGCCATACCTTCGGTGCCAAAGTGCTGCACGTTCAGCTCCGATACCCACGGCAGCACATACTGCATCACCACCAGAAGGTATCCTGTTGTCTTCACGCTGCGTCCTCTTCAGAGCTCCCGTACCTCCACTGCTGTAGCAGACGGGATACAAGTCCCCATCCCGCTTTCCAGTCAGCACCAACTGGTTCTAATTTGTAATTTTTAATTTGTAATTTGTAATGTTACAGAGTGGGAGGCTTCTGGGCCGCTTTATCACATTGTCAGTTCTAGATCATTTATCACCTTATAGCACCATCCACCACTATCACACTGTACTTCGCCATACGAACTGTAAGTCCAAGGCGGCGGATCCAGCCTTCAGGGACCCCTCCTCATCCATTCACCCGAACACCCGAAGAGACGGAGGGTTCGGCAATCGCCACCAATCCAGCGTGCGAATCTGGTCCATCAACTGTGACCTCAACTCCACATCTCAGCAGCTAGCCATAATCTCGCGCTCCCGACTAATTCGGGGGTCTCCCCAGGAATCGAACCCAGGACCTAACCGACGGAAGGACGAAACCGCTAATTGCAGTAGTGTCAACCCAGACCAGACCAACTGGTTCTGTACGTATACTTTCGCCTGTCCGCCGCCGAAGACCACACTGCCTCCACGATCATCAATGATGCGTACCGATATGATTTTGGCGGTCGCCTCCTCGTCGACGTAGACCTTCTTGAAAGTGATGGCCTGTTTATCGTTGACGTTAGAACGAATCGTAAGCGTGCCAACTTCAGTCGGCCGAAGAGACTGTCCCTTGATGCCCATGATGTTGAAGCGCTCCCATGGCTCCAATAACCGCACGTTGGAAAGTTCTGAGCGGTCATACGTTATGTGGTGAGTGGCGGCTGAGTCCAGAAACCATTCCGTCGGACGATTGCTGTTGTATGCCACGAATGCTACCTGCCGCGGAACTCCTGGCCTCCTAGCTGATCCACCGGATCCTGGCTTGCTGCCGCTAGCTCCGCTGCCACTACCTCCGTTACCACTGTTGCTGTAGCCACCCTTGTAGCCAGAATTTGACGACTGCTTCAGCGCCTTAAGCTGCCTGCAGTCCTTAACCACGTGCCCAGGTTTATTACAGTAGTAGCAGATGACTTGCTTCCGACTATGTCCCGAGCTGTTGTTAGCCGGCCCCCGGCTACCATAACCAGAAGTAGAAGCGCCGAACGTCAAACCGCCGACAGACGCGAAGGCTGCCGACTCGGTAGGCTTGCCCGACCCACCATTAGCCGTCTCTATAGAGAGAAGCTTTGCTGTGACGCTCGCCATGTCCAAATCGCCGTCGCGCATAAGTAATGTAGTCGTCACCACGCTGTACCGACTGGGTAGACCAACTAGCACGGTGTACGCCAGCTCGGAGTCGTTAATTACGTGGCCGACTCCCAATAAATCTGTTTGCAGCTGCCTTGCACGCGCAAAGTACATCGGAAGAGGTTCGCCGTCGACCATCTTAAAACGGCTGAATTCTTGACGTAGAGACACCTTGCGGGCGTTGTTGTTGGCAGCAAACATAGATCCCAAGGCGTCCCAGGCCTTCTTCGCGTTGGCAGCACCGGTAACCATCGGCAAATGATGATCCTTGACGTTCTTGATGAGCAGATTGATGACCTTCCGTGACTGTCGAATTTGCTCCTCGTTGCACGGCTCGGCGAGCAGGGATTGCTCAAGCCCAAGCTCCATGCACAACGCGCTGAACCGAATTTGCCAGGTAGAGTAGTTGTTGAGATCCAGCGATTCATCAAGCTTGTCCTTAACCATTTTCGATGAGGGATAGAAATAACAATTTGGCGATAACTGTCGGCGCTAAGCGGGGCTCATAACCTGTTAAGACCAGCAAAGCGCCGGACCCCCGTTGGGTCCTATTACTGTGGCTACCATTCACTGGTATATGAGTGTCGGTCATTTGCAACAGTGGCGTCGGGCACGGCCCGTGTTTGGCCGTCGCAGCCCCGTGTGGTTTGCTCGTTGGGGGTTGTGCAGCAGGCAACTAAGCTCCGGCTTATTTGGGACGGCAGGCCGGTAAACGATTACTTGCACGGCCCTTCCTTCCGCTATGAAGACCTGAAGGCGGTTCCTGGTTGGCTACTCCCAGGCGATTATCTTTTCACTTTGGACCTTAAAAGCGGCTATCATCATCTCGATATCGATCCCAGGTTCTGGGAATATTTCGGCTTCTGCTGGAGAGGGGTCTTTTATGTCTTCACACAACTGCCTTTTGGCCTCGCTTCCGCTTGCTGGGCGTTCACGAAGCTCATGCGAGAGGTCATGCGCCCCTGGCGCAAACGCGGCTGACGATGCTCGGGCTACATAGACGATCAGGTTCATGCAGACCAAAACGCCGACAACTTGGTCCGGCGTAGGGCCGAAGTGGTTGCTCAGTTGGAGTCGCTCGGTTTCTTGGTCAATAAGGAGAAATCTATGCTGGGGGCCGTGCAGCATCGCATTCATTACTTGGGCATGCTTATCGATACCAAGGACGGAGTTTTCATCGTGCCAGACGACAAGCGGGACCTATCTCAGATCAGCAGTGTGCTCACGGCGCTGCGCTCGACTGCCCGCCTATTGGCATCCATTAAAGGCCAAGTCCTGGCCATGTCTTGGGCCCTCGGACCTTAGGCCCGGCTGCGCACCCGAGCTCTCGGTCAACTTATCGAAACTCGGCAGACCTGGGAAACCCATCTCTCCCTCTCTGACGACGCGCGGGAGGAGCTGTCTTTCTGGGAGTCGTCCTTTGATCGGTTTAACGGCCGACGGCACCTGTGGGTTCCGTCCGTGGTGCATTCCCTCATTTTTTGCGACGCCGCAGGCAAATCCTCCGAGTTCCTTGGAGGTTGGGGGGCCTGGACCATCCTCAATGGCCGGTTAGCGCCAGCGCGTGGCGAGTGGACGCCCGACGTCAGTGCTATGGGATCTACCCCGCAGGAACTCCACGCCATTCTGAACGTGATTCGATCTTTCGATAGCCCAGCCGGTTTATCTGGTCAGTCGGTTAAGGTCATCACCGACAATCTTAATGCAGCGAATGTCGTCAACAAGGGCTCCGCTAAAGCGGACAACTCCCACAAGGTCGCCTGCGAGCTGCACAGCTTTTGTTTCGAGCAGGATATCCGCTTGCAAGCGGAGTGGCGACCCCGCGGTCAGAACCAGCTCGCCGATGCGCTTTCGAAACTGCAAGACCCTGACGACTGGATGCTGAAGCCCAGCATATTCCGCAGGCTTCAAGACACCTGGGGCCCCTTCGACATCGATCTATTTGCGTCCCACGCGACTTTCCAGCTCCCCGCGTACTATTCCCGCTATTCCACCCCTACGACGTCCGGAGTCGATGCATTCAGGTTCTCTTGGGGGCGTAGGTGCTGGGCGAACCCGCCCTTTCACCTCCTCCTCAGGGTACTGCAGCACGCCGAGGCCTGCCAGTCCCGGCTTTGCCTTGTCGCGCCTTTCTGGCCTACTCGCGACTGGTGGACTTTTATCACAGACGACGGGGTTTGGTTCAAACCTTTCGTGTGTGGAGTTCGCTTGCTCGGCCGGGCCGCGGATGTCTTCCTGGCCCGCACTTCGGGGGCCCCCCTGCCCAAAGGCGCTTCCCGCTGGTCCACCTTGGCCCTTCTGGTCGACTTCTCGGCCTCTAACATCAACCGTATCCGTGTCCCCACTGATCCGATCGCGCCCCTCGCACAGACTTAGATGCCCGGGCTGAGGCTCTTTTGGTCGCTCTTGGCGCGGAGGCGGACGCAGAGCTCTCCTTGGCGACTCAGTTTGCCCAAGTGGCCGGTCAGACACTCGCCCCGCGGACGTCCAATGATTACGCGCGGTCTTGGGAACCTTTCCGCGAGTGGTGGGTGGCCAGGCGACTGCCCGGAAGCATCTATGACACCCCCGGTGAGTTGGTGGCGCTCTATCTGCTCTCCCTGCTGAACTCGTCCAAGGAAGATAAGGTGGGGCCTGGACGGGTTCGTACAGCGAGTGCAGCAATCAGCTCCTATTTCCGCCTAGCCGGCAGAGCGCCCCCTACAGAGCACCCTGCCTGCAGCATCGTCCGCGACCTCGCCGAAAAGCAACTCCAAGGCCGTAAGCTGGAACGCGACGCCCTGGAGCCGGCGGACGTCACGGTGCTGGCCCGGCTGGTTGGTGGGCCGGAGCCGCCCCTCGACCTGCTGATGACCGTTACAGCCATCGTGGTCATGTTCGCGGGGTTCTTTCGGTTCGACGACGCTGCGGAGATCAGCGTTCACGAGGACCTTCTGGTTATCACGGCAACTGGCATGGATGTTTTCATCCCTCGTTCCAAGACCGATCAGCAGAGACGGGGTCACTGGGTCCCCATCGCCCGCGTCGGCGGTGCCGTGTGCCCCGTGGGCCTGACGGAGCGCCTTCTCACCCTGGGAGGGTACAAACGCCGCCCAGACACGCCGGACGAGGACGTCGGGCCCCTTCTGCGGCCCGTCCAGTGGAAAGGGCCGGGGGGTACTTGTCAGGTCCTCTGACAGGCACGGTGGCCCAGCCAATCCACTCCCTGTCGTACCCGGCCTTCTGCCACCGGCTCAACAAGACTCTGCAGGCAGCGGGGATCACCCGCCGCATCACTGCGCATTCCATGCGCATAGGAGGAAACAGCACTGCCGCCGACCGCGGTGTGCCTGCGGACCTGCACAAGGCGCACGGCCGGTGGCGCAGCGACGCCATGGTACAGCACTACACGTGGCGCGACGGGGAGGCGAAACTCTCCGTCTCCCGCAGCCTAGGCCTCGCCAGTGAGCAAATGTCTCTTCGGTCTGCTGTGTAAGGCCCTTGGCAGCGGTGCAATTCTCGCCAACAAATCGTCCTAATCGCACCGTTCAGCACCATCGGATCAGCCAATCCTCCGCCACCAGAACCAGTGAAGGGAGACAGTAACACAGAATTGTTGGCTTAGACGCGACGGAGCGAAGCGACCGGAGCTTCTAAGGCTGGTTCTGTGGTACTGTCGTACAACTGGTTCGCAGTGGCGACTTAATTCTCGCTGCTCTCCTGGTGAAGTCATTCTGCCTTCACGCAGAAGAGCATACAGCCTTGTCCAATTGTCAGTGCGACAGGCTGTACTTGCCCCCCGCCCGCCCTGTCCCTGTCAGCCCCTTGCTTCCTCTTTCCGCTACCCCCAGTCTTGCCCCAGATGCAGCACTGTTTGGCTCGGCCTGGCGTCGGCGGACTCCTGAGAGGCGCCCTCCCCCCTCAGCATGGTGGCAGACTGAGGCAGCACGCGCGTGGGAGGGGGGTGGTTCAGGGGGCGGGCCGAGGCGCCCGCATCCGGAATGAGGGGGAACACCCCTTGGGGTTGGTGCCTGGTCGTTTCTGGTCGGTCGGGCTTTGTCTGGTGCGAAGGTCTTTGGGGCGCGCGGGTGCTGCAGTACTTCTGTTTCTTAGGTTAGCTTTGTTTTGGTTTTTGGTGTTGGGCGCTGGCGCCCTTTCGCGGTGTGTTCCGGACCGTTTGCTGTCTGGTGTGTCGCGCTGCGGTAGGCCGCGCGGCCCCTGTGGCTACGGGCGGCCTGCTGGCCGGTTGGGCCGCGCGGCCACTGATAGGCTTGGCTGTCTGCTCTTTCTGCTGTGTAAGGCCCTTGGCAGCGGTGCAATTCTCGCCAACAAATCGTCCTAATCGCACCGTTCAGCACCATCGGGTCAGCCAATCCTCCGCCACCAGAACCAGTTAAGGGAGACAGTAACACAGAAGGGTGGTCACGTAACGCGAACCATTTGGTGAAGGTTCAGGCATAGGCCCACACACATCCATGTGAATGAGCGCGAGAGGCTGCGCTGCCTTATGCCCAGTTAACGGAAAAGGACCACGTGTATGCTTTGCAAGGACGCAAGTCTCACACACACACGCGCTGGCTGTTTGTATGCTGTGTCGGTCAACATCGAACCCAGTTACCATGTTGTGACGCAGCAACGCCTCAAGGTTGCTGTATCCCAAGTGGCCATACCGTCGGTGCCAAAGTGCTGCACGTTCAGCTCCGATACCCACGGCAGCACACACAGCACCACCACCAGAAGGCGTCCTGTTGCCTTCACGCTGCGTCCACTTCAGAGCGCCCGTACCTCCACTGCTGTAGCAGACGGGATACAAGACCCCATCCCGCTTTCCAGTCAGCACCAACTGGTTCTGTACGTAGACTTTCACCTGTCCGCCGCCGAAGACCACACTGCCTCCACGATCATCAATGATGCGGACAGATAGGATTTTGGCGGTGGCCTCCTCGTCGATGTAGACCTCCTTAAAAGTGATGGCCTGTTTATCGTTGACGTTAGACCGAATCATAAGCGTGCCAACTTCAGTCGGCCGAAGAGACTGTCCCTTGATGCCCATGATGTTGAAGCGCTCCCACGGCTCCAACAACCGCACGTTGAGAAGTTCTGAGCGGTCATACGTTATGTGGTGAGTGGCGGCTGAGTCCAGAAACCATTCCGTCGGACGCTCGCTGTTGTATGCTACGAACGCTACCTGCCGCGGGAATCCTGATCCCCTTCCAGACCCACCGGGCCCAGGCTTGCTGCCGCTAGCTCCGCTGCCACCACCACCCTTACCATGTCCACTGCCAGAAATGGACAACTGCTTTAGTGCCTTCAACTTCCTGCAGTCCTTAATATCGCGCCCGGGCTTTTTGCAATAGTGACAAAACAAATGTTTGGGGGAACCGCCAGAACTGCTGCTGGCCGCGCCGTGATTCCTAAGACCAGAACCAGAGGCGCCATACGTGAGACCGCCGACAGAAGCAAAAGCTGCCGACTCGGTAGGCTTACTGGACCCACCGCTTGCCACCTCGATAGCCAAAAGCTTGGAAGTGACGCTCGCCATGTCCAAATCGCCGTCACGCACCAGCAGGGACGTCGTTACCATGTTGAAGCGGCTGGGTAGACCAACCAGCACTGTGTACGCCAGCTCCGAGTCGCTGATAACGTGCCCCACTCCCAACAAGTCTGACTGTAATTGCCGCGCACGTGCAAAGTACTTTGGTAGCGGCTCGCCGTCGACCATCTTGAAACGGCTGAACTCTTGGCGGAGAGCTACCTTGCGTGCGTTATTGTTGGCGACAAACATCGCGGCCAGAGCGTCCCATGCCCTCTTCGCGTTCGCAGCACCCGTAACCATTGGCAAATGGTGATCTTTAACATTCTTGATGAGCAGGTTGATAACCTTACGAGATTGTCGAATCTGCTCCTCGTTTCCCGGCTCGGCGAGCAAGGACTGCTCAAGCCCTTCTGGGGTAAGTCTTCCCCATTAGTCAGGCGCAGACCCGGGGTCAAATCCCCTGGTCGACAACCACACGAGTTGGGAGAGGACCGTTTTCTCAACAGCAGTGTGGTCTTCGGCGGCGGACAGGTGAAAGTATACGTACAGAGCCAGTTGGTGCTGACTGAAAAGCGGGATGGGGACTTGTATCCCGTCTGCTACAGCAGTGGAGGTACAGGCGCTCTGAAGTGGACGCAGCGTGAAGACAATAGGATACCTTCTGGTGGTGATGCAGTGTGTGCTGCCGTGAGTATCGGAGCTGAACGTGCAGCACTTTGGCA